CGACTGGTTTGGGTTCTCCTTTCTTTTACCTTTAATTCCTCCTACTCCCATCCCTGCTGGAGTCATGAAACCATCTTTCCCCATACCCAGTGTACGCAGCTGACAAAGACAGCAAACAAAAAAATAAATGGGAATGTATTATCCCCCAAAAGCAGCGAGTTTTGTTCTGTTCCTATAACTGAGATACATATTTCAGTAGTGCTGTTAGTACCTAATAACTTTTCCAGTGCCTTCTGCAGTTTGTTTGAAAAACTTACCAAAGAAGAGATTATTCTTTCATCGTATATTGCAAATCAAAATCAAAGAGAAAAGTACTCCAAATTCTACATTTTTGCTTACAGAAACTTTTTATCTCGGCCACGTTTTTCTTCAGTTACACTTAGTTGTTATGAATCCTGTAGGACTTGCTGCACACTCATATTTCACCTTCCTGTAAAATGATTTTCTACTGGCCTGCCTGCTTGTCCCTTCTCACTAACCCAGCCTTCCATCTGGTTAGACTGTACCCATGGGCATTTTCTTTTAGAGTACTGGTGAACTGGATTTGCTTCTCAGTATGGCCAATCGTTCATGTAGGGTACAGCATTTTTTCAACAAGCAGTGTAAACAGATACCTTAATCTAACAAGGACAGACAAAACACCACATTCTTGTATTCTGAAATTCAAAACGTGATCCTGCCTACCTGAGGACAAATGAAGCCTGCTCCATACATGATGCTTCTTACAGAAGAAGAAAGGACATCCTGAGGAATGAGATTATCCGCAAAGATCATCATAAAATTGTTGCAGAAGGCCAAGTGGAAAACTTGGAAGAAGTTCATAGTAACGAAAAATAAAAAGTTTTTCTCTGTCATAATCTGTTTGGTCAATGAGATCACCGAGGACCAGGAGAGAGCTCTGTCACCATTTCCTCGATCAGCATTCTCGGCAAGAACTCCTCTCTGCTCATACTGGCTGGTACTGTATTTGCCTGTGTAATACATACAAGCTGTTGCTAACACTGCAATCAAAACAGCGAAAGCCTGAAAATAAGCAAAATTTTCCATATTATCTGATATCAGGCCACAAAAGAGAACGCTTGTTGACCCGATCAGTGTTGCTACTTGGTTGTATTTTATAAGCTGAAGCCTGCTTTCATGTCTCGTTGAAATTTCTGCAAAGAGCGCGCACTGTGCGAGCAGCACAAAGGTGAGCAAACCATCAAAAGCACACAATGCGACAATGAGGTGGAGCCCACTCAGCCAGTCACCTTCTTCATAATGTCTCCAAGGAAACCAAGGAAGCAAAAAGGCTAACGCGTATAACGGAGCTCCGTACAGAATTGAAAACTGGCGTCTGGAGCAGCATGGCGACTGGGAGTTGTCTTGAATATAGCCAAAAAGTGGATCATTAATGGCGTTCCATATCATAAATACAACCTGGGACAAACAGAACACAACTTAGCAGTGTGAGTTTTCTGCAGAGGTTATACAGGCAAGAAGTAATAAACACCATATCTACTTAAAGAATCTCTACTTAAAGAATAAAAGAAAGAGCAAAAACAGACTTGGGACCAAATTATCAAAAGTATTTAAAGGTTTACAGCGATTATGAAATAGAATAAAAAAAGAAAGCGTAAGTAGGCAGTGCCCAATGCCTGGTGAACCCCCACGGCTACAACCTCACTCCTCTGACAGCTCCCACCTTGCACACTCATTGCAAGTGATGCAGAACATGAGCCAGCTCGTTGCCTGCTGGAATTTACAGCAGGAGCTGCACACCCCGCTAAGGACTTGCAGAACTGGGGCAGTATTTAAGTACTTGAACAATCCATAAATGTACCTCTGGAGCTGAGACGCAAGATTAGTTTAAAAGATCACTTCAAGTTAATCTTCCCAGCAATCAAAGTTTGAGATTTTTGTCTGCAGATTATAAACTGTTTCATTTTTACATATTCTTGCATATGCAATATCAAAACTTAAAAGGAAGTACTGCATAACCATTTGCTTTGCATTCAAAAGGAATTAATAAGTAAAAAAATACCACCACAAAACAAACCAAAAAACTTCACCTTTGTTACAATATCACAGGTGCAGACACACCGTGAAACCAACATATCCATCGTACAATACCTGTGCTTGATGAAATGCTACTTCTGAAATTCTGTATCGGTTTAGGAAAAGCTTGACGTAGTAGAAATTAAAGATACTGTTCATCATTCCGGCACCCAACGTGGTCATGGAGTACGCCAGAGCATTGGGGTGGATTTCCAAAGCCAACTTCATCTTCCCAACTGCGTGAGCCTCTTCTTCCTCAAGGTACAGGAAAGAATTACGATAGTTGGTTAAATAATTTTCCAAAGTCAAAGGATGTGGGAGATTCATATCAGAGGTGTGGAAATGGGTTCTAGCAGCAAGATCTCCACATCCTCACTTCCTCTGAGCACAAAACCACAGAATATCAATTCAGCGACATTTCTAAACCTCATCAGCTAAAAGTCAATAGAACAGGTAGACCAAATTTTAAGAGAATAATTTCTGTGCACATAAAAATTAGCATTTGCAAAGACCAATTCTGGTGCAGAGGTCAAAGTAATTGCACACACTTTACATCTTGCCAGCTATGTAGTTTTAAAGCTACGAAGCTCTGTGCAGGAATGAAGTGAGTCAGCCCACAGCCCCACACGTTCCATTGCTGTGAATGTCCAAATGCAGCAAACACTAGGAAGCATTCCTTTCAAAACAAAGTTTTGGGTTTGTACTTTTAAATGCTAATACTTAACGAACATGGAAGCAATACTTAACACCTAATAAACAAATCAGACATGAACAGAAACCACGGAACTATCCAAGCACTTTTTAACAGTCTAAACATTTTCATACTAGAGAAGACAGCATGTAAACAAAATCCAGAAAGTGACTCATGCAGAGCAGTACAGCATTAAAGTATGTCCAAATAACAGAGATTCTTTAATGCAGAGCTCTCTGATAAATCAAACAGAGCTTCAGCCAACAGCTCTCTAAATTGCTGACTTCTTCCACGTGCCTCCAGCAAGTCACTGAAGTATGAGTGCTGCGAAGCATCCCGTGGGGACAGCCAGCTCCAGGGAACCCCCACCTTCTAAAGCAAATATTCCCTTTATGTTCTTGACCAGATTTGATTCCAGAATCCCAATACAGAAATATTTCTCTCGAGTTGCTCTTTCTAACCGAGGCTTTATCCATCTGGACATCTCTGAGAGGAGCAATTTGCCATTCCTTTGGAGGCACTCATTTCAGCCTTAATACCTGCTAACTGCAGAGCTGCACAACCTGCTGCCAGCTGTGCACCCCTTCCTCCTCCGCACCACGTTAACAATTTTATCCAACATGCAATTTTCAAACAGCCATCCAAAGCTCATTTATTTGTAAAAACGTGACTCAATTTTCAGATAATTGAGTGTGACTGTCATGCTTGTCATCATATTCATTTTTCACAGAATTTTCCATTTCCAGGTGATTGATTCCAGGCTTTGCACCTCTGTAGCAAGTTTGGTTTCATAAACTGAACTGAGAAACCTACGTTATTGAAAAGATGCCCATGCTAAATGTTTATGCTTAAAAAGAGGGATATCAAAAACTGTGAAAGGTGATTATCGATAAGAATAGTGTGCTTTTTAAAACTGTGTATCCACATCTTCCCAAATACACTTAATGATGTCGGTGTGAGACCTCGGGGCTTTTGGAAAACCACAGTCCAGCTGTAACCCTGTAGGTTTTCAGTGGAGAACTGCGGGCCCCGACCTCAGATTCCAAGAGCACTGAGATAAACGCTCAGCATTAACATTCTCAAGTCGTATTTGACTCAGTTCCTTCCTACGCACAAATAAGAAACTGCTTCCGTCGCTCCAAAAAACTTATAAGTATCATTTCTTCTACGACAGCCTCCTAACAATGCGCCGACCCGCCTCCAGCGCCATGACTCAGTGCAGCACAGGATCTGACTCGGCTCCTGCGCTAACGCTACATCTGCTCCCGCGCCTCGCGTGTGAATCGCCTCGGTGAGAAGCCGAGGTTCCACGCTTCCCTTCCCCAGAGACGTGTTCTTTAATTGTACAACAATGAAACACGCGTGAGCCTCCCGCACAGCCGTGAGTCACAGAGCGCACCGGCCGCACCGCCTCTCGTGGCAGCTCCTCACCGCAGCGAAGCGCTGAGGGCAGAGCAAAGAACCGGCGCTTCTCGAGTCCTCAGGGGGAGCCCTGAGGGGAAGCACCGCTGAAAGGAAACCCCGCGGAGGGCAGACACACGCAGAGCTCCCATGGCTCCCGAACCTGCGGGCATCCCAGCCCCGGGCACGCCGCGCTGCCGCCCACTCAGAGCGGCCCGGCGCTGAGGGGCGCGGCTCTCCACCTTACGGAGGCGCACAGCGAGCGGCAGACGGACCCGCGGGGACGGCGCCCTCCGCTCCGCACCCCGGCACAGAACCTTCCCCGGGCGGGAAGGCGGGGAGGGGCTGAGCGCTTGGAGAGCGGGGCCCAGGCACCGCCTCACAGGTCACCGCGGGGACTCCCAGCACTCCCGGGCGCGCCGCCACCTCTGCCACACCGGAACCCCCCCACGGCGGCCGCTCCCCACCGCGAACGCCTCGAGCCCCGCCGCCACCGCCCCTTCCGCGGGCACCGACCGACCTCCTCCACCCGGAGGCTGCGCAGCGGGACGCTAGGGGAGGGCCGGCTGGCCAGGGCCAACCCCTCCTTCTCCTTCATTGGCCGCCTGCCGTGAGTCCGCTTCCTGGTTGGCCGGCGCTCCTTTCGATCTACCCGGCGGGCGGCTCCCCATTGGCTCTCGGCGGAGGAGGTGAGGGCGTAGTGTTTGAATCGCGGGCCGACGGTGGGCGGGCGGCTATAGCGTGCCACGTTGTCGCCGGCGGCTCCGCACAGCCCGACCAGAAGGGGGAGAGGTTCGGCAAAGTCCGGAAACGTTCGGCAATGGCCGGAGGCGGCTTTTAAGGCGAGGAGCGGCAGCCGGCTCGCCCTGCCCCGCCGCCGCCCGGCGCGAGGTGAGCGCTGCGCCCTGTCCGCTAGGGAAGGGCGCGATGCTGGCCGACAGCCTGGTGGAGGAGTTCGAGATCCGCGAGGATGAGCCGTGGTACGACCAGCAGGACCTGCAGCAAGGTGAGCGGCGGGGGGCGCGCGGGGAGGGTGGGCGAGGGAGTGCGGGGCAGCGGGAGCCGGAGCCGCGGCGGGGCGAACCCGGGGGTCGCGCGGGAGGGGCCGAGGCCGCCGGAGGGACGCGGGGCGGCGGCGGCGCACGGGGCGCCCGAGGGTGGGAGGTAGGGACCGCCGCTACCGGCGCCGCGCGGCCGTCTTTGTCTGACGGAGCGGCGGCTGCAGCCGTGGCCGGGCCCCTGCCAGCAGTGGGGCGGCTCCAGGGTCTTCTCCCGGCGGGGCATGGCCGGGTAGGGACAGCGGGGCCCCGCGGGAGGGAGAAGCGTTACCGGTGGAGACGCGGACGTACAGCGATGTAACTGCGTTAAAAGTCATCTGCGGTGACGGAAAGAACGCGCCGTTTCCTTCGGAGCTCGCTGCCGTGCAGGACGGGCGTCCGCTTCGTTTGGACGCTAAGTCGCTGTAAAAGGCAGCAGTGAGTCCCGAGCGGCGCTCCGGAGCGGCACGAACCGTCCGACGGCAGCGCTGGGCGGGCAGGAGCTGCTCCGTGTGTGTACGGTGTGTGTATGGGCGGTCCGCAGCGCGCAGGGATGCCGTCGCGGCCACAGGTTATAAAGAGAGCCACTTAAACGAGATCCTGGAGCCATTGTTTGCTGTTTGCAAAAGGATGAGTTGAAAATTTGAAGACAGGGTTTGGTATTTTTACATCGTCGATATTGGTGGGGTGGAAGACCTGCAGAGCGGATCCGTGCTGCGCGGTGCCGGACCTCCTGCCCTACTGCTTGAACTCAGCTTCTTTCTCCCGTGAGTGAATGCCCAGCCTCGGCTCCCTGCCGGAGCTGGCGGTGCTCCTTCCAGGGGCGGTGCGCTCCCAGCACCAGAAGCGTCTCTTCCTAAGGATGAGCTTCTCGCAAGCCCAAATAGAACAGCCTGCCAGAAGGGAAAGGAGGAAAATGAGCTGATGAGCGAGCTGAAATGCAGATAAGTTCCTTAAGGGAACGTCTGTAAAACGTTCTGTTGGACTTTTACAGTCTGGAACATACTCCTCGTTCTAAAACCAAGCAATATCAGTGCATGTCAGTGGAGCAGCGAGGTCGCTTACAGGACACAAGTGAAACTTATCAGAACCCAAAGAATCAGCACATTTGGAAATCAAGGAGTGTTTTTGTGAGAACGCATTAGTGAACAACCAGGCAGTGCAGTACCACAAACCTGCAGCCCTTGCCAGCCTGCCCAGGAGCTCAGGGAGGGCAACAGCTGGCCAAGCTTCCATTGCCTCTGCGTGCAGCAGAAGGTTTTGCCTTGGCAAGAGGTGGACTTGTCTGGCACGTGTCATTGAAAACAGTGCTCATGGAATTCTTGTAAGGATGGGAGCAGCTTTCCCTCCTGCAAGGTCCATCTTTTGCAGCTGCACGCTGACATGTGGAAAAGAGCTGTTCTACGTGATTGCTCTTCTGTGCATCTTGCTGCTACCTGCTTTAACAAAGCAGAGTAAGCTGAACATGGAGTACGAGATGCGTAGCTAAGTGAAAAACTAAGGGTTTAAGTTTACACTTAAACTTCAACTTAAACATCCTATATTACTAAGGCATTCTCCTATTGAAAAGAATAGGCTTATTTTTAGAATAAAAATCATCTGAATTGCTTTGCTAGATGGGTTATGAAAGCATAAAGTAAGAGTTTTGTGCCATGTTCTGTCTTTTTCTCAACTACAAAAACACTGCTGAAAGGCTGCACAGAAGTGCTTGTAAGTGAGGGCTTAACACTGTAGAAGATCCATCACTAAAATCATACTTTGTTTTCTGATGGAGCTGTTAGAAGACACAAGTAAGACTGAACAGGTTTACTAATTTGACTTCTTGCATTATTAAAAAACTCTTTGCTTACATCTTCATGGAGCAAAATTGTTGCAGGACGTAGAGCTGTTGCTTTACATAAAAGAGCTGTGTGCTTCTAGTATCATACAGTGATTCTTAGACAAATGAAGGTTCCCTGTGCACCCGTTTCTCCACGTTGTAAACTGTTAACTTCAGAACAGGTCAGATTGGTTCAGTTCTTACCTGTTCCAGGGGTAGCAGTTAGGCTTTCATTGCATGTTATTGAACTCTTCTCTTCTCCCCCTCAAAACCAAATTGCCATAATTAGCAAACAGTAGGCTTCTCCCATGGTAATCCATCTGTGCTTCAGTCATTCTAATGAACACAATGATTATTAAAGTACAGTAAAGTGAATTCTGTTATTTGCACTGTATTCAAAGCACCATGTGGCTATGCCTCTTGATTTAGTAGGTGTGGGGGCATTTAAAAGTGGCACTACCTACTTCTGAATGTATTTAAACATAAAAAGAAACTTTCCCTTTGGGAAGGGAAATGGCAGCAAGTAATACCATTGCACATTATGTCTTGAGAAGGATTGAGGATTATGTTAAAGCTCTTTAGATTCTGCTCTGTTAAAATAAGAGTGGTCTTGAATGATTCCAATATTGTTGACGGACTTTAAAGATTGTGGGTACTGGTGAAGATTTATGTAGCACGAGAACTTTGAGTCAGTCCAGGTTCACAGGAGGGCTGAGTTGGTTTGACTCCATAATAATAACTGTGACTCCACAGACTCCAGTACTCCATAATGCAATAGAACAGCGTGGTGTTGGGCTGCTGAGGAGGTGAGCCATCCACGATAAGCAATGTATAAGGTCTGTTTTCAAATAGGAAGAACTTAAGGTTTCTTCATCCAAACCCTTTAAAACTTGGGAAAAAGCTGTGAAGTAGGCTGTGTTTCTCTACAAGGGGTGTTACAACAAAAAAGCTACTTGAGGATAAACTGCTAAGTAAGTGTAAAACAGAGAGCCATGTGGCTCCCAGCTCTAGCAAGAACTTGTGTACAGGGTGACTTGTAAATAAATTCCACAAACATTATTCAAAAGGTCTGACAGCTACAGCCCGTTTTTTCCTACCTTAAAGAATGTGTAATGACTACCACAGCTGTTGTTTGTCCTGAACTGGACATCTACAGCTTACAGAGACAAGTGAACAGGAACATTTGTCTGTTTGGTCTGTACTCAGTCTTTGGTTTATGTATCTGGACCAAGTACTCATTTCAGACAGGCTGCCACAGTGAAGGTTAGCACAAAGCAGCCTGGGAACAGCCTTCTGTCTGCTACAGAAACCAGCTGATAAGGGGCTGGAAAAGGGCAGGAAAGTGACAAGAAACACCTTAAAACAAGGGCATCTTAATCACGTGACAATTAAAAATGTTTTCTTGTCTAACTACAGCTGCAGGTGATGCAGTATGTCTTGTATTCATTTCAGGCTTCTTGAAGAGAATCTGAGGTTTTTCTTGAACTTCCTTCTGCCTCTTTCCCATTAGTGATGCTATTCCTACCCATATAAGAACTAACAAGGCTGACCTGCATGCAGGAGAAACCTGGTCAGGCCCAGGTGATGGGAAGGAGGTGAAAAGTAAGATGTTAGGAATCATGTAATACCTACACAGAGTAATTACTGTTTTAGCAATAATACTGTATTGATTTCATCACATTATGTTAGATTTTAAATTGCATCTTTAAACATAATAATATGAAACATCTAGCAATACTCATATTGCTTCCCTTGAGAAAGAACCTGGGTCTTCAGATGACTTATTTCTTAATTTGAAACAATTACAGTCACTGTACCCTGGAGGTGATTAAGCAAAATAGAGATTAAGTGCCTCTGAACAAATTATACTTAAAATGGTGTTTTGGAGCACATAAAGCAATTGCTGTCTCCTACGTTTATGAGCTTGAAAGGCAGGATAGCTGCATTTCTTTAAGTTTTGTCTTTGATATTACTAGTTCACCATCAAATGCCTGGACCTTTCATTTTGCTCCTGTGCAACCCAAGCTCCTTGGTGAAGGGGCAATAGGGAAGAACAGCACAGTATATGAGAGTGCAGTCAGCTTTGGCCTCAGTCTAACCTGATGAGCACTTAAAGAGTACTTTATGCTTATTCTTCTAAAACATGATTGTTGCAACCACAGTGAAATAGTTAACGGATGCTGCAATAAGAGGTGCATGCAGTACAGAGCAGGTGGAGGGGAGCAAAGGGAAGGTGGCTGCCTGCATCTGCCCCGAGGCTGCAGCATCCAAGGAGGACCCCAGGAATGGCCATGAATTTGGAGTATCTTATAGGTTTCAGGACTCACTTAAGTCTTTGTCTTACAGACAGTATTTGAATGGCCAATGCATCTGTAAGCTAACTTCATTTTTGGGTTCCACAGTCATTTAAAAAAATAATAATTCCAGTCAGTATTTGGTTAAAATACTTGAAAAACAGGTCATGCTATCGGGTCTGTACCTTATGTGCAAATGACTTCTTTGTTTAGATCTTCACCTTGCTGCTGAGCTTGGGAAGACGCTACTGGACCGCAACACTGAATTAGAAGAATCTTTACAGCAAATGTATGCAACAAATCAAGAGCAACTGCAAGAGATAGAGGTAAATACTATAGGAATCCAGGTGTAAGTCATGCAGATATGCAGCAGAATAGCACGTAAGTTGAGAGTTCTGATTTCTCAACATCTGATCAGTGTTTCCTTGAAAGTGTTGGCCTTTAACTGCCGGTGCTGCCTCAAAAACTTACCCAGGCTCTGATCATTGTTAGACCCATTTGTCTCATTAATGGAGTCTTTGTGCCACAAAATTCCTGTTGGATTCGGCTTGTATAATGACATGACTGATACTTTTTATACAGACAAGCTATTTCAGGATTGTTACAGCTAAATTTTGCTGGTCTTGTCGGGTAAAAATGATATGAAAATCATATGATGAATAAATGAACATCTTCATATTATTTTAACTATTAATGATTACTGCACTGAAATTTAAATGCTTGACAAAAAAGCGTGATAAAGATTTAAGTAAAATGGGAGGATATGTATTTCTACTGGGGGTAAAGGGAAATACAGTTCAGTTAAAAAATGAAAATCAACAAGAATAAAAACATGTAACTGCCTAAATACAGGCTGTAGCGGGTATGTTCTTATGTCTTCTGGGGGGAGAATCAGAGCTGCCCTTTTGGAAACACTCATCTTTGTTACTTCATGGAAAGCCCTGACCATTTGTGGCTGTTTCTTTAATGGTGCTTCTATTCTTGCAGACCTAACATTTGCCAATATAATGATTTTTTTTTTTTTTTTTTTTTTTTTTTTTTTAGCTATTTGAGGGCAATGCACGGCCTCTAATAATTAAATTTATTAAATATTCAGTACTTCTCCATTACTCTGGCAGTGTAATGGAAATGTAGTCCAGTGTTTCATTTTGGCTCTAGTATGAATCACAGGGAATAGGCTGTGACTGGCGTGTGCTAAATTCTTACAAAATCTGCACTCACTTGTGGAAGCATTACTTATGTGGTTACAGTCAGAGTATTTTTGTACAGCTGCAGCTTAGGACTTAAACCTTTATCACTGTTGTAGCGATAGGCAACTTAAAGAACCTAAACTTGAGACATAGAAGTATATAGGTGTTTTCTAAAATAGTCACATTGATGTAAATAAGCAGCTTTTTGTTTGTTTTATAAAACACTTCTGTTTTATACCTTGATGTTGTCACTTAATAGGGGGAAGAATCAAACTGTTACCACATTTGTTTGATGACACAACGGCTGGAATGGCCTGTATTTATTGCCAATGCTATAGCTTTTTTTTTTTTTTAGTATTCACTTATGCAGAGACTTGACTCACTGAGATGAGTGCTTTTACAGGAAAGATTGATTCTTTAGATCTGGAGAGTACTTCATGGTGTATCGTATAGCACACTTGAAGGTGTGCTGTACAAACACTGTTCTACTCCAGGTTCAACTCCTGTATGAGAGCCTTGTTTAAGGAAGTGTTTAACACAGTTACGACATATTTTGAAGTAACACAGCCTAACTCTGCAGTAGACAGCTAACCTGGATCCTTGAGCAGAGCTTCTTAATCAGTGGCTCTATTATAACGCCATCTGAAAACATGGAAAGAGACATGATTGCTAAGTTGGATTCATTTACAGAAATAGCCTAGTGCTATTAAGGATGTGGTATCTCATTTGGTTCGACTAAGATCTTCTTGTTTCATTTTGTCTCTACATAGGAGAGCTTTAGCACAAGAAGTGGTGAGAAGAGCCCTTCTAGCAGTGAGCTGCAGTTGGTGTGTAGCAGGGTCACGTCCTTATATGTTCACACAGACTTATTTATTCTCTTAACTTGGCTTAGCCATTGGGAACCAGGAATTCCCTGCTGCTCAGGATAAAATATGCAAGTGCTATTTCCAGGGTTTATGCTCGATGTTCCTAATTTTGAAGTGCTTGTTTCTGCAATACAGGTGTTCTTTCAACTGCTCTTGTAGCTACTTTGCCAGGCTTTAAACTAGCCTTTTCAGAACAAAAAAGCAATGACTACTTTCCTCCTACTAATTCATATCTTACAGGCAGCAAAATCCCAAACTTAGAATGATTAAGAAACCTTTTTGAAATATGGTACTACATTGTCTGCACAAAACAAGGAAGGGTCAAAGGTTTCAGGATGCTTACTATTACAGTTGATATATTAAAAGTTAAGATATTAAGTGTTTTACTGCCTTGGATCATTATGTCTGACCTCTGAGCTGACACGTGTTCCGCAAACTGATCGCTGCCATGTAATAAATGCTGGATTGAAAGGGCAGCTTTATCTCTGTCTGCATCTTAGTATCTCTGAAGTTGGAGTGCAAAGAACTGGCTCTCCTTTCATTGTGTGGTAGAGTGCCTGAAGTCTCCACTGCTGCTTCATGATGGGCACTCAGCTGTTGTGCAGGATCAGCATGGTAGCTGTGGGAAAATGGGAACTCCTAAGGTGTTATCAGAGCCATACTTTGTTGTGATGTTCTGGTTGCACCAGGCCAACTTGATACCAGAACTGAAGATGCTGAAGACACAAGATGAAGGAGATAGCATTTCACATCTTCATTCAGCTAAAACTTCCACTAAAGCCCGCTGTGAGAAGTGGTGACATCAAATTCTGCCACCAACACCTTGGTTTCTGTGTTCAGCCACTCTTGTATTTAACTGAAGAAAATATGAAGAAGTCTCTAGCACTTTCTGAGAGTGACCAGTAGGAAAAGTTAATCTGGAGTGGGTCATGCTGAGATTCTGCAGCTAATCCACATACTATTTTTGTGTAAATCCTGTCACGTGCACACAGGCTGCAAAAGGATCTAGCCAACAGCTACCATGCTGATCTTCTGGAAGTCTATGCAGCAGTTACTAGTCCTAGATTAACTTATAATCTGTTCTTAAATTGCCTAAAATATAAACACATCGATCTTTTAAGGAGGTGAAAGGTTAAGCAGAATATTAGAAGTTTTGAGTATGTGACAGTATGTACTGAGATGTAGTTCTGCTTGGAAGTCCAGTAGGCGTTCATACATTTAGTATGTAGTAATACACAACTTATTTTATGAAATTACTTCTATGTAGCAACTAAGTTATAGTTAAGGGTCGGGTTTTTTGTTCCTCAAGTCTGTTTAAAAAAAATGCTTTTTTTTTTTTTTTTTAACTGGCTCAGTCCTTTGCTAAATGGGACAATACAAGGCACTTGTACTGAGAGTCTTAGGTGATCGTTAACTTCTTGCATGGAGAATTCCAGGCTTTCTGAAATAATTCTAGAAACTTAGCAGGTTATTTTGTTAACCATCAAACTAAAGGGAGTTAAAATGAGATCACTTTGTGTAGACTTGTATTTAAAAGAAAAAAGCACAGGAGACTTTTGCTCAGTATTACAATGACTGGAATAGTTCCTTGTAAGTAATTAAAGGCTGAATCTAATAGTTTGGTTCTACTTCCTGACACGTAGTAGTCCTCAGAATCTCAGGTGTGACCACATCCTAAAATGTGTTTTGCTGAACCTAACGCTGATTCAAACATAGGCAAGCAGAAAAAAAAACCAAGTGCTACCCAATACTTCAGTTTAAATGCTAAGAATGTTGGGTCAACATTATTAAAAAACTTATGATAGATTTCACTGCAACTTTTAAAAGGACTCTGTGAAGAACTGTGTTGAAATCCAGGTTTGTGTGATGACTGCAGTACAAACCCAATCTGGATGGGTTTGTGGTAGAACTGGCAACAGTTTAACTGCAGCAAGGGTAGCTGAACAGATAAACACAGTTTTCACAAACCAACCCAAGTCATCTGGATGAAGGACTGGTTGATCAGCCTTCACTGACCACAGTGACAAAGACAAGAGAAGTAACTAAGATACTGATTGCACCTTTTCAACTGGGTAGTAACCAAAGCAACCACTGGAACATGTACATTTCTAGAACATAGCAGTTATTTTATGAATGTGAACAAACCTGCAGAGCAGTAGCCCTATCCTGTGTTTCTAATATAAACTTGTAACAGCAGTGTTGTCTTGCAGTATCTCACAAAGCAAGTGGAGCTCTTGCGTCAAATGAATGATCAACATGCAAAAGTTTATGAACAGTTGGATGTGACAGCAAGAGAACTAGAAGACACTAATCAAAAGCTAGTTGCAGAGAGCAGAGCATCACAACAAAAGATACTAAGGTAACAAACTTAAGCAACATCCTCTTTTCTCCTCTCTACTCAACTGATGATACAAAAAACAGTAATCTGAGTCTATAAACGCAGCGTTTTGGTGGCTGTTTGTCTAGTGTTGTTCTACACTCTTAAACTGAAAGTTTTATTTAAAGGTGGTTTGTGGCCAAAGAGCAATCTTCAGAGAAGCTGAAATGTGAGGGGATGGGAATTAATCTGTCCTTGATTAAACAGTCAAATGCTTTAACAGAGATCCTTCACTTTTAGCTTGACAGAGACTATTGAAAATCTGCAGACACACATAGATGACCTGCAAAGGCAAGTAGAAGAGCTGAAAAAGTCTGGACGAGGCCGGATGAACCATGAGAGATCTGACCAGCCAAGATCAATGCACAGCTTCTCGTGTTTGAAGGAGCTGTACGACCTTCGCCAGTAAGACTCTTTCCTTACATAACAAACAGAAAATGAAAATTATTTTAAGCAAAGTTTCAAAAACTAGATACAAGCACGGGTGTTTAACAGAGTAGCAGAAAAGCATTCTAAGTTTGCAACTAGAAGAATATCTGTACAGTTGTGCAGTGTGTGGTAGTGTTGCTTCTGGTGTGCTCTGGCTGCAGACTGTATTGATCTTTGTGGGAAAACAACAGTATGTTCTACTTAATATCTTGACAGGTTCTCCCTCAGAGCCTCCAGCTGTGTGAAACTGTAGCCTAGAAAGCCTTCAAGAATGTGAACCTTCCTCTTTTCAGTCAGATAAAACACAAACACAGATAACTACCAAGTAAATTATCCTAAACAATATTTTCTGTAACTTACTTTTTCCTGGGACATCTGTGGGCACCTTCTTTTCAAGGTGGGCTTGCTGTAGTAGCTGCATTTAAACTGGATAAAACAATGCTTATAAGCTGGTAAAATAGTGCCTGAAGCTTTGGGCTGCTTTTTAATTTAGAGCAGTTCTACCCAGCTGAACTGCATTGTATGCTCATCAGGAGTCACCTGGGGGATGGTCCCAGTCTGTCTTCGCTGCTAGAAGCTAATAGAAGAAGTGAAATAGTTCTGCAAACAGGGAGAATGGGATTTGTGTCTGGGCTTCCAGCAGTATATGCAAGTAAGACTGAGGAATTAATCTATGCAAGCAAGGAATTACGTGGTGGCAATTCAAAAGATAAGTGGATTATTTCAAACTGTGAGAGGTTTGTGGAATTACACTCTGCAGAACTGCTTTGCCCATTCTGAAGCTTGTTTCCACAATCGGTGGAGACCTAAGTTGTGAAAGATGTGGTAAAAATATGAAGGAGTATCACATAATATGTGGAGGTAGTATCCTTTAAATTGAAATTACAGATCTTTTATTCAGTAAACTTTTCTGTAATTTGAGATTGTTAAAAAGCTGCCATCCTGCTTGAGCTGAGAGGCTTGATGGCATGTGAAGTATCTACAGACTCCAATCATGATTATCAGCTGAACTGTTAGGTTGGCAAGATGACTGCTATGCATGCTTTCAGATATGTTAACACAGAGTTTAAACTGTCATTACTTACCAACGACAGGAAAACTTTAGGTGGGGTCTGTATTTCTAAACTTTAGCTGTATTTCCCTGTTTCCTCAGGTATTTTGTTTATGATCACGTGTTTGCAGAAAAGATTACTTCAATGGATAGTCAGCTAAATCCTCTGGAAGAAGAAAATGAGAACTTGAAGAAGGCAGTTACAGTTCTGCAAGCCCAACTCAACCTAGAAAAAGAGAAGAGGGTAACAATGGAAGAGGAATACAGTCTTGTGGTGAAAGAGAACTGCGACCTTGAACAGAGGCTTGTCGATATTGACTTGTATCGGGCTCGTGCAGAGGAGTTGGAAGTGGAAGTAGCTGAAATGCGACAGATGCTTCAATCTGAAAACGCACTCCACAATGCAGAGAAATTGGTGCCAGAATCCTTTTTCATTTCATTTAAAGAATCTTTAGAAAGGGAGCTTGGTCAGAGCCCAGCTGATGATGGGCTTCTGACTGTCCCTGAACTTGAGAAAAAGGCATTGAAGCGGAGCAGTAGTGAAAATTTCTTGAGTAGTGCTGCAGGGGGAGACATTCTAAGGGGCCATGAAGAAACGTGCATCAGGAGAGCTGAAGCTGTGAAGCAGCGGGGAATCTCTGTACTCAATGAAGTTGATGCTCAGTATAATGCTCTGAAAGTGAAATATGAGGAACTTTTGAAGAAGTGTCAAATGGATGAAGATTCTTTGAAACACAAGGCTGTACAAACACTGAAGCAGTATTCTAAAGACAGTGTGGGAAATACCCAGTATGATCTTTCAGCTAACAATCAAGAATTCACGAATGCAGGAGAATCACTTTGCTCCACAAATACTCTTCCTGAATATAAAGCACTCTTCAAGGAAATCTTTAGCTGTATCAAAAAAACAAAGGAAGAAATAGATGAGCACAGATCTAAGTACAAGTCCCTTTCTTCTCAGCCATAACGTTAGATGTTCTGATGACTGATTTGTTGCTGGTGACAAATTTGTTGCCCAGAAAGGGGGAAAGACTTTACACAAATGTCGAAAGACCCCTTGCACAGATGTTTCTTTTAGCACTAAAAAGGAATGTTTTCAATTGGCTCATAGAGAGTAGTTAAAAAGCTAGTTAGACTAGCAGTCTTCCTGTAGGTACGTAGCAATAGATGTAATGTTGTTTGGCACTGTCACACGAACTAGTGGTTGTAAAGGAAACAAAATTGTAGCTTAATACTACAATGCTACTTAACACACTTGATTTCTGGCAGAAACTGACAATAGTTTTCCTAGTCCACTTCAAATTAACAGAGCTAAGAAATCCGTACACTACTTCTCACAAAGAACTAGGTAAAAGCTTTTCTTTAACTTGCATGTGATCATCTAGCCCAGTAACTGTAAAAAAAAAAACAAAAAACCAAAAAGCCCCAGGTCAGTATCACAGGCAGCCTCTCCTCGAGTCCTGAGAATGAAGTTAGTGAATCTAGCTGAATTTGCTTTGGCAGGGAGATGGAGAGCTAGCATAGCAGCTTGCGCTGTGCTTGGTAAAGTTAATGCCATGTGTTCACATGAACTAGGCTCTTCTATGGATAAGTATAGATGTCTTTGTACTGAGAAAGACTTTGACAAGAAGTTTGTGTGGCTATTTAGGTATGGTTTCTTATTTAGGGAACTTGGTCTTAAGGTGAGGTACTGTGAATTGATTACATGTTATTTGGAGCTGTTTTTGTTTTTTTTTTTTTTTTTTGTGGGAGGCCAACAAAGTACCTACTAGTGTGTATTTGGCAAGACAAAGTTGCAATTTAGTCATTTAACTTTAGCAGTAGAATTGATACAGTGAGATAGCTTTTAAGCTCACATACCACAAACTCCAAGCACTGAAGGAGACGGGTCAGGTAAAGCCTTATCTTACAGGTTTGCCCATTGCTTCCACTATCAGCTTCAGTGAACCTGTTCCATGCTGCCTATGGAGTGGTGGGAGGCTGGATGCAACACTGCTAGAACATATCCTACTGAAAATGTGGGGCTGTGTTGTTGTTCATACTTTCCTCCTCCACTCCCTAATAGTAGCTCATAGGTATTCAAATTCTGAAAAACAAAATATGCAGAAGTACATTCTTTAGAACTGCTTTGAAGTATGAAGAATGGAAAACAAAGGCTAAGCAATTAAGGAGAAAGAAGGCACCAGGAAAGGTGACATCCTTCTTACACAGGGTCTCATAGCTTAATTTGGTTAGCTCTTCTTGGGAACTTCCTTATTGCCTGTCTGAGTTGCTGCAATATACCAAAACAGCTGGAAGAGTGACAGTTTCTCAGCTTTAGTTCAACTGCTGCTATTAAGTTGTCTGCCTTATTTACCTGTTAAGCTTGTGTACAGTTGTCCTTCATTTGCAGTATTAAGACTCTGTATTGTGGGAATTTCTCAAAAATATGTATTGCATTCTTAAGAATTATTTAAAAATGGGAATCCGAATGTTGTAAATATTTTTCTAAGCAAATAAATAAGCCAGTCAAGCTCCACGTCTAACTAGTAATTATGCCTATCTGTGCTTATCTTGAAACAGTAAACTGCGCAGATGGCAGCTGCATTATCTGGTCTATCCTACACAGCTCAGATGGAGTTCCCATTAAATTTTTATTCTAAAAAAGGTGCAGTAGGTAGAAAAGGATACGCCTGTCTGTGCTATAAGGCCAGAGGCAATGAAGTAGTTTCTCGTTTCTCTCGTGTTTGTCGGTGTTGTTCCAAAAAGGGTGTTGGAGGGGTGGGAGGCAGGAGAGCTGCTGTTCTGCCACCAGGTTAGCTCTGATGTCACTGCTTCCCTGGCTTTGTCATTATCTAAGGGCTTTCTACTGCAAAGCAGTAACTTTGGATATGTGTTCTGGCTGTCACAAGCACTCTTTTACTAATGCTATTCACTTTGGGGAGTGGGGGATCCACACCCATGGGACCAGAAGTTGTGTAGAAACAACTTTAGAATTTCTTGTTAAATATGTGATCTTCAGTGGTTTAATACTGTTGGTTAGCAGGGCACTTTCTATCTATTTTTTACCCTTTAAAATATCCAGAATGTTCTCAGATTTCCACAGAAGTCTTCTGTAGCATAACCTGCCTTTGACTACCTGTGCCATTGTTGAGCTCTGGCTGTACTGCAGTGTACTTTAACACTTAACTGTACATACCCTGTAATAAAAACCTCCAAGGCTCTGCTGTTCTATAACCTCTCTCAGACTGGCTTTCTCAGGGATAAGCTTTATGGGCGCAGCTGTAGGCAATGCTACAGCAACAGGGTCATGCTAGGTAAGCGACAGTGATGGGGACACCCAGCACAAAGGCTGCAAAAGCTGCCTGAACTTGAACACTGCCTGATTACAGTAGTGAATAAACTTAGTGTGTGAGTTAAGGTAGAGTTTTAGCAGTTTAGAAATAAGTACTTTCCACAGAAGTTCAAAATGCTCTAAGTATGGCACACTGCTCTTAGGCCAATCTTAATCTGCTTATTTTAGTTAAAAAAAACAGCCCTTAAGCATAAGTAGATGAAATTAATAGTATCTACTTGAGCTTCTCATATGATGGAAATTACAGAAAACAAAACCCATGAACAGTAACTGCTCTAAAGCCACCAGTGGGGTGTTCCTTACCTCACTGCTGTGAAGCTTAAGTGACAAACGTAGAACAGAAGCAACTCAGTTATCATTTCTTGAGCAACAGGCTGCATCTTGACAACCATCCTAAAAAATGTGATGCACGTAGAAAAGTACAGCAAGAGGCAGTTTGCCATCTACCTCAAACATCTGCAAATATTCTTTACCTTTCCTTCCTCTGTAAGCCTTTGGGCTCTAAAAGGAGCAAAGATCATTTCCATTTCTTCCTGGGCAAATACAAGGCAGAGTACAGCAGGATGCCACAGCTGACCTTCAAGATAAAATTTTATTTTTAAAAAAGTTACACAAAATAGAGGTTTTACATTGTTGCCAAGTGTGATAACTGCAGCTGGATGCCTTGCACATGGTGCACTTACCTTTGCACACAGTAAGGCAAAACTCCATCAACCAAAACCCACATCAATAAGACATCCAGTAGTTGTTTCACATCTATTTCAAGTGTAAGTACTTTTTCAGACAGTTCATTTTACAGACACCAGGTGAGAACAGTTGCTATGTCATACAATGTTTAAAGACAATGATTTTGTATCCCCCCCTCCCTGCCCTGATGTGCCCATGAACATCACTACCCTTGTTGTAAAGGAAGGCGGCAAGGGCTGTTGTAATGCTCAGACTAATGCCTGAGCATCTAGGTATTTAACAGAACCTGGGATGTTTGTAAACAAATTTAATTTATTGGCATCACTTACTTACAAAATAAAATATTAGACCATGATTTTCCATCATGTCTGTGTCAGTATATGGTTTTATTTTATTATAAGGAAAGAGAAGGAGAAGCAAAATACATTAGAAATCCCAGATTAATCAAACTGCAGACAGGGTCCCGTGTTGTCTTCCCAGTTGCTCGCTGCACCCAGGCGGCCATGCAAACATATGTGTGAGTGTGCTGTGATGTCAGTGACTGTCTGCAATGCCACATGCCCCAAAGTAGGTCAGCTCCTGCCCCGCACTCCTGAGGCCACAGCATTACTGTCTGTGCCGCCCACCGCAGGTTTCCTCTTTCATCCAGGAGAGCATCTGAAGCACAGAAACCGCCACAGCTGCCGTCAAGACTGCACAGTCCCTTTAAGATACCACATTCCACCATAGCTCACACAGCAGTCCTGGGGAGAAAGGGAGAGCCCATCAGTGCCTGCAGCACCGCCCCCATTTCCAAACCGCAGGGATTACACACTATGAGGTGAGCCCCACTGGAACCATGATTTGGCTTTGCAACCTTAAATGCGATCGGAACGTCCCTCCTGTGTGCCAACGAGAGCCAGAGCAGCAGGTTATCTCTGCCCTGACGCTTAACACAGCAGACAAAGAGGAAAGGCTGAGAGCACAGGGAGGATACACAAAGGGAAGGTTTCTGGGAGGAGGAGATGGGAAGAATGGTGAAGCAGGTTAGAACAGGAAAAGAGGTGAGAACCAAAGGAACTACGGGGTAACTGCAGCCCGAAGACGTGAACAGACAAAAGGGAGCAGAGGAAGCATGCAGGCAGCCCCAAGCTGGAGCTATTCAGCAACGTTCTGTGGCAAGGAAGGGTCAAACCTCAGAACTGTACTCAGGTATTCTGACCGTGTCTGCTACACTCACAGCTGCAAGCTTCACAGCAAAGGAGTTCAGTTTGTGGTTCCTTGTTTCTATTCAGTGAACACCAAGCCTCATGAATTCTAAGCCTAACAACTCCTTTTGCTGCAACCTTCCCACTTACGTAATTCAACAGGAGCTTAAGCATTGCTACAGAACTGATGCTGTGGAACTAAAAAGAAAAAAAAAGTACCAATAACTGTAACTTCTTCTTAATTCTTGGGACTTACTGCCCTACAAAGAAATTAAGTGCAGAGGCTCAAAAGAGAGTTTTCATTCTGGATCTGCAGATGCAAAAATATATTCCCTGTCAGTCTGCTCTTTTCTGTACAGGACAGGAACACATGCAGATGGGGAAATAAGAGTCAATAAATGCTATTTCGTTCAAAGTGGAATCAAATCTCTTACGATTTAAAGAAACCAGTTAATCCTCCTACTTCATTAAATCATACTTTCAACATTTACTTCAGAAACATGCTTCTGCGTTTCACGTGCTTCTGTGACAAATACATTCAAGACAAAGTCTGACACAACACAAGGCTGACTGTGCAGTGACTTAGATTTTACAAAAGCAGGACCTGGTTTGCCAGGAACAACGATTCTTTGCTCCCCAGAAATAATTCATTTATTAAACATCAACAACAATGTGCAAATGAATGCCAGTACATTATCTAGACATCCCCAGAGAGCTGCGATTTGAGCCTGACAAACCTCCCAGCTCAGGCAAGACAAACCAAACGCTGCATAGCAGGCAGAAACGTCTCAGCTTATTTTAATACTAAGCCCAGGTTCATTCAAGCAAGACCAGTTTGCTTACTGTCACTGCAACAGATGTGTAATTTTTCAAGTAGGTTATTACTCTGCTTACAGATCCCAGAGTAATAAAGTACTTAAGCACTTGTCTCATTGAAGTGGGTGATGGTGAGCAAAGGCCCAGCAACAGTGACTGCAGTGCTACATGAGCTGGCAGCTTTCTCCTCTGTCAATCACAACCTGCATGGTTGCTACTTCATACCTTAAACTTGCTTAGAAAGTAAATGGTTCATGTTCAAAGACAGAGATGAAAGGATTCAAAAATTCACTATGGGATGTGCTAAATAAGACTCTATGCTTGTTTTAGTTGCGGTTTTGCTCACTACACTGCTTTAAGTTCTACTATAGAATATAATGCATTTCCTTCTGAACACGTGGCACCTGTTCTTCAGCACAAAACAGCAGGCAGCTCAGCAAACTCAGAACGCTCCCACTGCCTTAATAAACTCCATATTATTTAAAAATAACTCTGAAGTGTGACATTTACTGTGCTCTACTCCCTTCTGATCCAAGATGAAGAACAAAGATTTGCTGCAATAACACCAAATAACAGGGGAGTCAAAATCACTGCTTTTTGGAGAGAAACAAGGTAGAATGAGACGAGGATTACTTTAAAGAAAACAGGCTGAAAAACAAGCCGTGCCTGTTTTCCCACAGCAACTGTTCTATGATCACGATCACTTGTCAACTCAAGGCAATAAATGGTCCTTCAGTTAAACCAGAATGTTAAAAATTGAACCAAAACCCCAACTGAGCAGAAACTTACCTTTAGCACTCTATCCACCTCCTGCTTGTTGAGGTCTTGACTCAGCTGATTCTGAATGACATTTCTGCGCACTCGATAATTTTTCGAAAAAATTTCAAGCAAAACTTGGCGATGCTTTAGAATAAAATCATTAATACAAAAACAATTACTTTTAGCTTGCTATAAAAAAATCTATACGTGCATTAGTCTGTTCAAAACATTCACTGAGCTGCATTAGAGTATTCTTGCTTCATAACTCTGAAACTGTCCCCTTTCAACCTGCTCTCATGAGGTGTCCTCCCATTATCTTGCAGCTTGCAGGGATCTCTCCACACCTCATGAGCACATCTGCCCCATCCTGTGACCCCAGGCACCTCCACAGGGACAAACCATACTAAAGAAGGGGCAGTGACATATTTCTCTCACATTTCCCAGGCAGCTCAGGTGGTCTGCTTCAGCCAGGAGCTCGGATGCTGCTTATTCTCTAGAACAATGCTCGAGACTTTCCTATAAACATTTATTTAGGTCACGGACAGAGCACTTACATTGCCCATCTACATTCTCTAGGCTGCCTTTCCTTCCACTTCACTTACAGTGATACAAATAAAACTCAAGAGATGTTCACATATGCTGTAATCATTTCCTGTGCTAAATATAAACAGACACACCAGGTCCCATCATCATATAACCACTGGTTAACACTGCACTACCACTGCATTACCATTAGCAAAAAAAGAAGAATGATTTGACTGGATCGCACCCTAAGACCTGCACGGCAGAATCTTTTCTCTTCATACAATTGATAGCATTTACACCCCACTGAGTTAGTTACCAATGTCTCACTTTCTGTTCACACCACCTAGTCCTGATGTGGTGACAGCCATCCTACGGTCTGAGAGCTTTCTCTCAGCCTGAAGCTGGCTGGTGCTGAAACCTGGAATCTTCCTTAGGGAACAGTGAAAAATGGCTGTACTGCTTCCAGAAACAAAGTGAAGCAAGGCCAAATCCTCACTAACAATGTATTTGGGACTGTCACTTATTTTTGTCTTTACCTGATCATAAATGTCACCGGCTTCCCAAAGTGCATAAACCTTTAGCTCATCTGGTGAAGCAGCAGTCTGTGGAGGAAACTGAGAACAAGAGCCTGTTAAAAATAACTATCTATTTAATGAGTTCTACTTAATGACTCTATGATATGGTATCCCCTGACACCTATTATTGAATCAAAATGTTGTGGCCACTTAATGAGAAGTGCTTCTCTCCCACCCCACGCTCAGGGCTATGGAACAGGACTATGCAACAGCCCCTGTGCAGGCAGAGAAACACAAACCCCACCAAACGTGCTCTTCTGGGTGATGCTACAGCACTCAGACCCTGAGTGAGGGGTAAATACTGCCTGGGGAATAGGACCAGTTCTCTGGCAGCCTGATGCACACATGGCATGTCCAACAGCATTTAGTGATGCTTCTGGTCACACTGGAGTGATGGCAAGCAGCGCCATGGGCACAGCACCAACCACGTCAGAGCTGTACGAGGGGATCCTGTGACACTCTATGGGGACTTGGAGGAAGGGAGGACAACCACCAAGTGCCACGATAATCTCAGGGTGTGGACTGTGGACAGTATCTCACGACACGATGTATGGATTGTTCCTGCCAGCAGCTTGTGTCTCCAGACTTCCCAAAGCAGAATTCAATTAAGCATGAAGATGACTGCAGGCTTTTCTGGAGATTTTGAAGTCTCCACTGGCAAGTTTTAGATATTTGGATTCTAACCGAATTTGTTCTGCTAAATCCAAGGCAGCATGACTGACCAGCACTGTGCTGCTGCTGTGCGTGTGATCCCTGGAGCAGCCCACGGGACTCCTGGAGAATGAACACTGATGGAGAGCAAACCAAACACCAGCACATTTCAGGCTCCCAAACTGAAGTGGTTTTTGCTCCTACCAAGATCCATGCTAGAGGAACACCATTTGTATTTTCTGAGACAGAGACCTTGTGCCTCTGCGAGCTGGAAGGAATGTAACTGTTCCAAACTCCTACAAAAATAAAATGATGTCCATTTGCCTTAATGCTTTCCCCTGGAGCAATGACTAGCAAGTAATGCTGGATACTTCCCGCTCCTGATGTGTGCCTTCCTGTCAGTCACCAACCATTCATTCCTTGCTAACCACTGACCTGCCAACCTCAATCAATCCCCACACAAAGCCAACAGGCCTGTCTGATTGCTGCAGTTCCTCACTGCAGTACACCCCCCCACCTTTTTTCCCAGCCTTCTGCACTACACAGAAGGACTGCACTGCAAAGGGAGAGCTCAGCCCTTTCTTTCAGGGGCTGCCTCTGATCTTGTGGCAAAGGGAAGCGCTGTGTCGAGCAGGAGCTGCCTGCTGGAATCAGCAGCTCCAGTTCCACCTTGGTACAAACTCCTGATATATATCAGGGCTGTGCACCTGCTTTAGAGCCAGGATTCAGATTTGTTGGGCTAGCGACACCCAATATGCTCCTCTTCTCGTGAGGACATGCTACACACAGGAACACTTTCCTGTGCTTTCATTCAGCACAGATAACACCATAGCATCAGCCTCCCTCCTGACAAGTTGCAGCAGGACAGGCAACAGAGGGCTGCAGGAGCAGAGCTCCGGTTTGCGTGGGGCAGACCTGAGCACTTGCTGCTGCCTCGGCCACATGCTGAGCACAGCTGCACTGCTGGCTTTCAGAGAAGGAACTGCTTCCGAACCAACACAGTGTTATTTGGGAGAGCACAGAGAGCCTCCCTGCATTCGCATCACCCTGCAAACTGCCAGGCACCCTGCTCACTGCTGTCACTGCTACAAAGCACAAGCAAAGCACAGCACCCTGCAGGCAGCCCCTGTTCACAGCTGAAGCACCTTCTGAGGCCCCATGAGCACCATTTATCTGCTACCCCAGATGCAGCTGTTCGGCTTTATAAATCCTACATTCCACCAGTACGGTTTCCACTGCTGTTTTCAGCAACACATTTTCTGTAACAGGGCAACGTGAAAGCCAAGAGTGTCTTCACCCCCCATAGAACATCACTTTAATTACCTCAGATCATTGATTTTTATCACCAAAGCAGTTTCAATTACAGAAAACTAATGAGTAACTACGAAATCTCAGGCAAAACATCCCTCCAGGCTTCCAAGGAGCTCAGGCAGCCTCACCGGGTTCAAATAAAATTGTCCAGGAAAACAATGAGAGAAAGCGAAGTATATGAGCTCACAAAAAAGGCACAGCTGGCCCACAGCATGATGCAGAGGCCTGGGAGCTGACTTACATTTCTGACAGGCTTATGCAGGCTGTTGCAGAAGATATCAAATTCTGCAAGAAGTTCTAGATCAGCAGAACTCAAACATACAGCAGACTCCAGCAAACAAGTCCCAGACTCAGTTAATACAACAGCAGTGACTTCAGCTGTTTACCACCAGCATGGCAAGTGCATATCCTATACCACATACAATGAGAGTCTTTCCAGCACTAAGCAGCAGCTCCAGGTAAGCATTGCCCAGGCAGCTGGAAGCTGTCAGGAAAGAAAGCAAAAAGCACAAAAAGCAATGGCCTCCTGTGTGGCATCTCACATCTGTCACTCAGCACCAGGTGCCACAGGAAGTACTTTGCACACCACTGAACATGTTACTTATGCCTCCCTGAAGCCCAGCTAAGGCGTGAGGGCTGCTGTACCTCCTGTGCTCCAGGCTCTCCCCAGCCTGCCTGCTCTCTTCTCTCCCAAGCAGCTCATATGTTTCTTTGCCTCTCTCTCTAACAACACCTGACTCCCAAACTCCTGCTGGTTGCAAACCAATCAGCACTACCAGATGTCTTGTGAAATTATTTTCCTTTCAGGCTACTTTCCATGACGTCAAAATCCCTTTTCTTTCCTAAGCAATCTGCTGGCTCTGACTCACACATTCACACATACAATTTCTATAAAGACAAGTGAAGACACCTGTGATCAGCCCAGCAGGAGTGACCCACAGAACTCTGCAGATATGGTTTGCTGCTTCCCAGAGAGCTCTGCTGGGTGTGCCCCACCAGTTCCAGGCAGCAGCCATCATCTTTATCCCAGCAGCATTCCTGCAAAAAGCTGTACACTGCAAAGCAAGCTGATGGGACTCCCCCAGGGTAAGTCACTGAAACAGGAGCGAGCAGACACAATGAGTCCCTGCAGCCCAACAGCCCAGAGGTGGAAAAGGAGCCCCAAGGACAACTATGAGCACACCGTAAGGGCAGAAAGCAGAGCACAGGGCCAGCCAGAAGCAGGAAGGCAGACAAGCCTTCAGCAGCTTCAACAGAACACAAGTGTTCCTCCAGTCCAGCCCAAGGTGCAAACATTTCGCAGCTCTGATATTTAACTGCCCCCCTACCTCCCACCCAGACTGTGGCAAAAGGAAAAAAATACTTACAGGCACCAAAATCTGTTTGCAGCCAATGTCTAACACCATGTCCTGTAACATTTTGTCTGAAATGCCACTGAACAATATGTGTCCTGGAGGCAGACTGGCTAAATGAAGGTTAAACAACCGTTTAAGCTCACTCAAGGTGAGCACAAATTGTTTCCTAAACGTTGAGGACACAAATGCCTTCAGTTCTTGGGCTACCCGATCGCTGCAGCCTCCAGGCAAGTGGCCATTTAAGGAGTCTGTGGAGTCCTCCTCCATGTGGAGGCCGTTGACAATGCCGTTGTTCAGGCCTTCGTACACTGAGGTGTCCATGGGCTCCTCGTCACTCACAGGCTCCTCTTTAATGTGGATATTAGAAACATCTATCTTGGATGAAGTGTCACTTGATTTCAGTTCTGCCTTTTGCTTCTGGAACTCCTTCTCTAGCTGCCCATAGTTCTGCTTGACTTTCGCTTTTGCCATGTTGACTCTTTGCTCCCCAGAAACCAGCAATGGATGGCCTGGTAAGAAATGAAACGTAGCATAAAATCCCACCATAAACAAGACTCAGTTTTGCAGAATGTTGCTTGAATTGCTCACAGTGAAATAAAGCCAGGAAACAACACTACTACTTAAGGAGTAAGCCTGGCTTACTGATTAGATTTTGCTTCTCTCCCCGCTACTATAACTTAAAAAAAAAATAAAAGAAAAGAAAAAAGGAATAAAACAATTAAGCATGTTGATAATTGTAAGCCAGACGGTCTTCCAGTCAAAGAGCCTGAAGCAAAGACAATGCATTTCTCCAACAGCTCGGGTTGTGCATGAGGTGCACAGTATGGAAATCTGGAACTCTTCTAAGTATTATTACTCAGTGCTGGGTAGAAAGGGGCAGAAGGGAATCCTTTCCCATGCAATCCTGCACCTCAACCCAAAGGCAAAAGGGGAGTGTGCGTTGGCAAAACAGAAATTCAGCCTCAATCCCGTAGGAAGGAAGGCTGCATTGAAGGCAAAAGCCCACACAGCACTCATGCTGTTACCTTCTTTATTATTAGGCCCACTAATTCTCTCTGAATAACCCAACACCTAATCCTTCCAAGCAGATCAAACACATGGTATTGAAATGGAATTATATGCACACTTGTCAGTTCTGCTCATTCTCCTTGCTGGCTCCAGAGTCTGGCAGTGAGCCAAATGCCTAGCTAAAGCTCTCTGGAATCTCAGGTTTTCACAACCTTTTAGATTACACAACAGCTACTTTAATATTCTTCCTGACATCTGTGGTGGAGAGGAATGGCAAAGAGACAACTTTACACCTCCCTGCAGCCCCCCAGCAAATACATTCCTCCTTAATTGTTTAGCTCTCAACCACACCACAGAGCCCCCCAGCAAATCAGAGGAAATAAAAAATCCAACCCTGTTTTATTTGGAACTGAAATGGGAATGACTCAACCACATGCATGTCAGCCTGAGAACCAAGAGGTAAGAATCATTCGTGCTCTGTCCTTGTCCTCAACTCAGCATCTGCTTACAGCACCATGCCTTAAAATGAGGAAGTTGTTAACATATCCAGATGATTTTACTCTATCAAATAGAGTCTCCAGTGCCAAGGAGTCCTTCCATGCTCTGCCACAGTAAGCTTGTGTCACCACTAACATCACTGATGTTAGTAAAGACCAAGTTATCTCAAATAATGCAGAAGAAATTACAAGACAGGGATAATATCAGACACAAGACACTCAGAAATAGAGAGAAACAACAAAATATCACCCAGAAATACAGAGATGCATGTGTTTCAAGGTAATCCACACAATTTCATTTACCTGATTGTGGCTCTTGCTTCTTTGGTGTCAAGTGTTCCTTTACAAGATTGTAGACTTTTTCTAATCTGAAATACAAAGGAAATCATACCAGTACTGTTTCTGCTGTTATGCTTGCCTGCAGCCACACCACCTTTAACTTTCAGCCAGAACATTTAATTTCCACAAAGCTGTCCTCAGGAAGCCAAAGAAAAGGAGTGACTTGAATGATGCATGAACACAATCCCCATACAACCACACCCCCTGAGAGGAGTAAACCTTACAGGCAATATGGATCAAATATAGATCTGTCAGTATTCACAGAAACTTCACACTAGATCATTCTCCACTTTTAGCTTATTCCCCAAAATAAAGCAAGTCATTTACTTGGCCTGAATGCCCATCCACAGCATACGTTGCCTCTGAACTATATCTGGATGCTTCTTAACAAAGTCTTCATCATAAGGGAGCATGAACTCCCAACCTTTGTTTATTCTTGCCACAGACATGTGCTCTAGGAAGTCTTTCACATCTTCAGGGCAAAGCTAAAAGAAAAAGGAAAAATGATATGGATGTCAATCCACACAGGGCATCTGCAGCCACGAAGCAGGGCACACTGTTCTCCGCGACAGGACGAGCAGGGCTGATTTGGTGTACATGAGGCACTCCCACAAACACACGCCTAAGCCAGTCAGAGATATTTATCCTTTGCAACACCAGTGCTTTCACACAATGTTAAAGGCAGAGCACTTCAGAGAGCAGTGATTAATCAGTTGAGAGTCAAATAGCTCATGACATGTTTTGTAAAGAAAAGGGAGTTTACTAACTGAGATGAAAAGACTATTGCGCAGAGAAGCATGTCCTACAACTTCCATCTTAGTTTAGAGCTCCAAGTCAGACATGCTGCACCTACAGGTGCACGGCTTTTAAACAGCACTGGATCTTAAATTCCAACAGTAGCCAGTCTGTACATCAACCCATTTGTGCTCTATCATTTTATTTTCTTTTAAACAAACATTTTTTTTCCTTCTGACAGAATATTCAGGTGCCCGAGTTGTTTTACAGCTTTCATTCAATACTGGCGGCTTTGCAATGCCATTAGAAGTGTTGTGCTTCTGTAACGCACTCTGCAAAAGCGGAGTATCAGTGTGGACTGCATGAGTTCTCATCTGCTTTGGTGCTTTGTAAGCCTGATTCAAAGGATGTTCAGCTTTCCACCAAAACAGAAGAGGGGACAAAGATGCATTCCAGTGGCTCAGCTGCAAGGACAGTCGTGTCCTGTGGAACTGTAACTGTGGGAGCTGCTCGAAATAATTCTGTAAAGAGTATCTATACCTGTTCCAAAGTGAAGATGTGCCTTGGTTAGCAACACTGCAAGTCAGCAGTAATGCAGACACTGTGAACCTGAAAGAAAAGGCTTGCAGCAGCACCTGTTACTGACCTGCAGACAATGCCCACAGTTAGCACCAACCTCTGTGTTAGGAAGAAGTCACTCACTTTTGTAACTGCCGCCACTTCCTTTCGTACAACCCAGCGGTCCTGTGTGAACTTCCACATCTAGGAAGGAAACAAAAGAGAAAACCTTGTTAACCATAGTTAGGAGCTGCCTTACCGAAGTCACAGAAATAACACTTCCCAATGATGTTACCAGAAAAATGGGAACTTGACTCCTTTCAAGGATGTGGAAACCGGAGATACTCACACAAACAGCAGGAAAGCACTTTCCGACCTATTCCTTGCTCAAAGGGCCATGTGCAGTATCAGAATCTTTGAGAGTTTATGGTCTCCCTTGGTGAACCTTTGACTACAAACGCTCTGAAGAATCTCTCAAACCTCATTTAGCTTCCAAAAAAGCCCTACTGTGGTGATGCTGGAACTGCAGGAGTCACACCTCATGCCCAGCTTTAGCACACTTGTTCACTAACCTGAAGAAACTCTTCTTCCAATTCTTTGGGTGCAGTGCCAGCAGAAGCTGCTGACTGCTGCATTTCTGCAGATCACAACCTCCTAGAAAGTATCTGCTGCCTTTTCCAATGCACATCACCACAGTCACTTACAGTCATGCAACGATGGCAATTCACTCATGTATTTGTCTCTCGTTAATGGAAAAGCCAGGTGCTCTGCTAAGCAGCTCCCAAGGCCTAGCACACTGCGAGGCAGCTGCTGAGAGCAGGATAATGGGCACATGAGCCTACTGTCTGACTATGACCTTTGATTTCTTCCCATCTCCATTTAAATTGATTACAATCTCCCTTACTATGTGTTTATTAATAGTGTTGCAAATAATTCAAAAATCTCATTACTGTCAATTTCCTCTTGTGCTTCAATACTTCCATACTTCCTTCTCTCTGACTCAGCTTCTTTCTTCCTACAGACTCAGAAAATCACTACACTTACAACACAAGGCATTTCTGTTTTGAAGGACAAGAAGCTGCTGCCTAAAGGAAACAGATCCGTCACCTCTACTTGCACACAACTCTGAGACAGCCATTTCTCATTAGGCACTTCATTCTAAACTAGAAACTGAAATTATTATGAAAAAATAGCAGCTTTGAGAAAAGGCAAGAATTACTTACCTCCTTCAAAGTACAGCATAGAACAATTGAACATTAAAGCCGCCACTGGTCTTTTACAGTATTTAAAATAAGAGTAAAATATCTTCCATTATTAAACACTTTATCTTTACATTTCAGTCGCTAAGCATAAGCACTTACTTGAGCAAGCATAATTATTTCTGGTCCCTAGAAGTTGACACATGACGTGTCACATAATCTGCTGGGTCCTAAAGCCTACTGTCACCGGGTCACATCTGATTGCAGAGCTCCGTATGGCAGTGTCTTGGGCAGACATCAAGACACAGTAACAAGTCAGCTTCAATCACCACCATTTTATCTTATGCTAGTGCTGCCACATCCGTAAGGTCTCTTGCACGGTATGCTCCTATTCAGCGCTACATCTCATGAACAGACTTTGCAAATAAGGGGAACTCTTAGGTCTAACTGGAAAACATGAAAGCAATGCACTCACTGATTTCTTTTCAATGGGGTGGAAGCCATAAACTGGGTATGAACTTAGGAAGCACTCAGGAACTTAATTCTTTCCGTGGTTAGCAAAAACAAACACGAAACAAAGTTGTTCCTCCCTTCTGTGGTTATGTGCTTGTTTATGAGACCTGTACTCATTACAACTTCCATACGCAGCTACCACTCACAGCAGGTGCTTAGGAACAAAGTCCTTTCACTGATTAGCAGCTCAGGGGAATAAAATCCTTTTTAAAGATCAGCAGTGCATGCTCCGGGAGCAGAAGGCTTAACCACACTGCCCTCCTGAGACCTTGCAGTCCTGAGCCCACGGAAACGTATCTGGAGAAACAAGCACTTCATTATCCAGTCCTGGCTTCGCTGCCAGCCCTGCACCATGCAGGTTATGTGATAGCAGCTCTACAAGTTCTATTACAAAGAGATGAATACCACCTACTGTTAATGACCAGCAATCTGAACTTACCAGACAGCCACAGTGTCAGTCCACACAAACACTCCCATGCCAGACTTTTAACACCACCACCAGGGTTACAGCGCAAATAATTTCTCTGGAGCAAACATCTTACTGCAGTAGTGGTGGATGTGAAACCAAGTCCAAACAAATGCCATGGCTCTCAGACAAGCTTCAACAATATTTTCCTTTAGAAACAACAAACTCTTTTGTACTTACAACAAAGTCTCTCCCTCTACAAAGCACTTCTGCAGGGACTCCACTATGTGGACTGGAAGTGTCTTTAGGGTAGAGCACATCGCTGTTAATTAAAAAGGAAGAAGGATTAGCTACTTGGTTCTCCAAAATACAGCATTGGTGAAAATTAACATAATAAACGTGCTCCCAGCTCTGCAGTTAATTTACACCTTTATCCAAAGCATCGCTTTCATTAAAGGAACTAATATTAATGTAATTACTCCACTTCAATTACATTAGTACAAGAAGTGCTTACACCAGCAAAGCCCAGCCTTGTGACTGGCAGATGTGTGCAACGCAGGTACACGCTCTGCTTTGTTCTTGCAAAGCCTTTCCTTCCTTGCATGAGTGTAAACAAGACAAACGTGATCCTAAGAAGTGCTGAGACTAACCTAAGCCTTGAAGGTAGCATTTAGCCAAAATGCTGATCTATAGGAATGAGTTTTCGGTGCGCTTTAATTCCTTCTCAGCAATCAAAGATTAAAGAGAACAATGCTATGAGCTTTCATGCTCAAACCAATCAGATCCAGGACTAACACCACCCTGGTGTCCCAGTCTGCTTGCAAGATCAACTAGATGACATTCATTTCTACAGACTCCAAAGCCTTGGGGCAACCCAGGCTAATAATCCTGATCTCCTCAGCCTCCTTACTTAAAGCTCTGATGTGTGCAGACACGGCTCTGTGCACAACTATCCCTAACAGGCTACATCTACAGATGCACACAGAGTCTTCAGACAAACAGCAAAGAAACACATACAACATAAAAACCCCCTGAGTGCTATAACACTTTTAATTTGCACCCAGCTGCCTTCTGGAATGACTGGAGGTATAGCAAGGACAGAAGCAGCTAACACAGCTAGCACAGGCCTGTATCACAACAGCTGAAGAATCCTGCTAACAGACAAGCTGGTAACTGGTGCCACACATCTTAGTGCAGAAAACTACTCCACACACTGTAATTCTTTGCATGCAATGCTCCACCCAGCTGAAAAAAAAAAAAAAAAAAAAAAAAAAAAAAAAATAGCTTTAAAAATTAACCCCACTAAAATCCCTTTTTATAAAAAAAAGGGAAAAAAAAAAACAACAAATAAAAGTGGTACAAGAA